AGGTTAATTATAGTTCATAGAAAAAAACTTTAGAGGGCGCAGAACCTCTTCCTGATTTTTAACAATATTTTTTCTACATACCCGGTAGTACCGGGTACGCGCAATTCAACAATATGTGTTTATACCCGGTATTACCGGGTACACGCAGTGAAAGGGTTAAGAATTTAAAATGTTTTAATGTAATTGTTGGAATTTTTTTCCAGATGATATTATGACAGACTATATCTTTAAATTTGAACCTTAAAAATATTTTACAGTAACAGTTGCTGGTATTTAAACATAATTACTATTATAAGTTTTAATTTTAAGTAATTACAATTAAAAGTAGTCAGATGTACTTATTTAATGATTGTTTTAATAATGTTAAACATTCTTCCTCAACCTACAAAGAATAAATTGCTATAAATGTAATAGTTACCAGTTGTTGATCTCAAATATATCTGGACTGTATGCAATGCACGGTACATGGCATGATACTGATCTGCTATTAAAGGATTGTATTTCAATTTTGTTGCATTGTCATTCAATATTTTCAATATTATAAGTGTCATCAAACATTGTCCCGCTACATTTTTATGTAAAATGTTATTGTCATAATATTGTCATGATCCAACACAGGTAATTTCATCCAACTGTCATTATCATCTAACAATGGTGTTATTACCCAACATTGCCACTGTTACCTGTGTGGCAGTTATTCTTATCCAACAGTTTCAGTAAAAACTGACAATGGCCTCCTAACATTGTCATTTAACATTGTTATCAAACTATTTAATTGTCATTTAACACAGTTATTGTCATTTAGGTGAGACATTTTATATACCTTATTTTGTGAACTTATTTTTTTGAAGATGGTCAGAGGAGGGCGGAAAAAAATAAAAATAAAATTTGTTTTCTTATTTAGTAAATAGTTTTGCCAAAAACATCCAGACAGAGGAGAAAATGAAAATAAAATTGTATTGGTGAATGCAAACAGTGTAGTAATGGGATGGTTAAATGATTCAAATTTATATAATTAGGAATAAATATACATATCTAATTTTTGGAGATTTCAAGGCAGTGGCGGGTGTAATATAAAAAAAGAAAAACTTAAATATTTTCTGAAATTTTGTTTTTTTGTGGCGGCGGGGTGTGCTTAATTGGCTAAAAAATAAAATGTCATTTTTATTCGAAATCATCATTATTAGTGGGCGGTGGGTTTGCTAAACAAGTTATAAAAAAAGTATCGCCTTATTATCAACCATTCCCATAAAACCATGGAAAATGGAAAGGGCACCGTTATCTATACGTATTTTTGCTATTCACGACAGCAATGTTTGATGTCCAATTACCGCACAATGTTTAATTTTTATACAAATCCCACACATTAATCTGATAAAAGTTAAGAAATCTGATTTGGCTATAGGCCTACACGTCACGACAACAACTGATGGGTTAACAAGTATTTGAAACAAGAGAGCATAAGGTAACATTATGAATATAGCTGGTATTATCATCATCTAAGTTCTGTTACCTAATACGTCGACTTGAAAAAAATGTCATACACACTATCATATACTGTAGTACTTTCATAATTTCATTGGCGCCATAAGTGTATTATAAATGCATCTGTAAATATATCTCCTATTTCTTATCTTACAGTAGATTTATTTCTCTTATTAATGGCAAAACACTGAACTCCTAAGAATCTATATAATAAATTGCATTTCAATAAACAGTCTTTTTTACTCAACATCACACAATTTTCAGTTCTATATTTTTAAATATAAAGCTGTCGAGTATTAACATATTTCATATCTTTACCGTAAGCAAAACTAAAAACTAAAAATTCACATCTCTGGATAAAGCAGGAAACATCGAAAGGAACTTTATTTTTAACCTGATTGTTTATTTTCGACCTTTGCCTTTTGATTTTTTTTCTTATAAATTTGTAGTTTGTAAGTTTAGTATGTTTTAATTCTGTATTTGTGTAGTGTCAGTACAGAGGAAAGAGTGTAAACTGTTTCTTCTGACTAATTGCCTATTCTCTTTCCTGGCAAATGATATATGTCTTGAATGCCGAATAAATATTATTATTAAAAATTATAAACATTTAAATTTACTTATACTAAAAAAACTGCATAGATAAATCTGCATCAGTCGATATTTCATTTCATTTCTTTCACATACAGCAGCTAACTTGCTAACTACTGGATTGAACTATAGAATGACGTTAAGAATCTGAGATTGGAAGGCGAGAATTTTAACCACTAAAGCCTGGGGTCTCAAGGTACAAGTTGCGCCTATTCTTTCGGAAATCAAACAAAAAAATCCTGCGGTAACTAACCTATCTTCAGCAAGTTCAGAATATTTGCATGTTTTTATTTGTGAATCTCGGTATAAAATATAAACTAAACATTTTATTATTTTTGACTTGCATATTTTACAATAGATTATTCATTAAAATCACAAAATGTTAAATGTAGATCTACCATTTCACTTATATTTAGTAGCTTTTTGTTTTTTTTATTTCAACAAATAACTTATTCCACAAATTTAAAGATTTCTACTAAATTAAATTTGATACCCATTTCTTTGAATTATCACCACAAATTTCAAGGATTTTGAGAATAAAAATTTAATTGACATTGAATGTTATATTATAGTCAATTAATTTAAAATTAATGCATTTAGCCTACTTTATTGATTTCTTTCATATGACAAACTGTAAATTTGTTTTCGAAAAATTATGTTAAAAAATAATTACGTGCAAGTTGACACAGATGCGTATATACGGTGGAATGCAAACAACGATTTTGAAAGTTTAGATTAAATATGTTGACTGTTTTTTTAATGATGAATACCAAGTATTCTATTACAATTCTGAGATTTTTTAAGACAACTGTACATTTTCATAAGGGGATCAAATACTGTGTTAATTATTTATACCTCCATGATTAAATCAAGAATTTCTAAATGAAGTTAGAAGGTTATGTTTAAAAGGATTAAACTCAAACTATGCAGGATACAACATAAATATTACAAATAAGGGTAAATGATTACCATCATATAAAGCAAGAGCCTATTAGGACGCAAATCTTAATAAATTTGTCTATTGTGAAAAAAAAAATGTTTTAAAAATTTCAGTACAGGTAAAAATTTAAATTTGCATTTTAGGTTGCAAAGTTTTTTAAATGTCTCCCTCTACAGTTTGAAACCACATATTAGGATAATTATTATGTGCACATAAAAAATATAGTGTCACAGTCTATGGCATACATGCCGCCTCCCAGCACACCTATAAGAACAGTGAGTTGAACATAAACAGCATTCAATTAAATAAAGTAAAATGTGATTGTTATTTGTTTTGACATAAGATAAGACATAAGATCACTTTATTCGTCATGAATTTAAAATATAAATCTATGAAAATTGTTTTCCTTGGCAGGACAAAAGCATCAAAAATGAATTTAAAACTTCACCACAAGCAAAATATACATCAAGAATATAATAATAATAAGTTACATTTATTATATAGCGCATATTGCACAGTGCCTCTATGCGCTTTACATAAAATTATAGAAATTATAAGAAAGATCTTGAATTTACAATATAATAGGGTGTGGTGGCAAAACAACACTAGGTCTCAAAGGGTCAACTATCCGCCTCTGCCCTGGCACCGTCCCGGTCCCCTACCTATGTGGCGCGAACAAAGGAGCAGGTTTCACATTTGCCCTGCCACAGGCGACCGGGTACACAGCATTCATATAAACTCCAGACTACGTAATAACACCATAATTTAGTATACGATTAATTCACGCATGTTTGTGTTTTATTTGTTTATCATTATGCTTAAGTTTAAGTACCATATTCAGCCTTCCCAAACCCAGTACAATTGTTGCTGGTGATTTTATTGGAAGTCCTAATCAAGTGACAAGTCCATTTAAATGTTTTATTTTGATTGTTCTCTGTTTGCTAACTTACGTGTGAGTATGAAGTTCCGTGTTTCTGGATTTATGGCCATTCAATTTTCTTTTACCGTATTCATTTTTTCTGCCAGTTGCAATGAAAGTTTTTAATGACTGATTTGATATAACAATCAATTTACATTTGAAACTTATAATTTTTTTTTTTATCATTTAAAGTATCACCATTTTGTTATAATTAAGAAATACATATGGTACTGTCTTCACAAATCACATTTGTGTGCCTTTGAAAAATGTCTTTGCAAGTTATAACCTCCATATGCTTAATACTGAAATGCTATTTAATGTGTGTATTTCTAAGAAAAGTATATGTTTCTCATAATTTCCTCTAAAATATGTTTGTAAATTCACTTGTGATACTAAGTGTTTTCTTGGTACAGATTAAGGATGCTATGTTCTATGAAGTAATCATTCGCATAAAGCATTGTGGTCATCAAAATTGGTAAAATGATTTGCTTTAAAAATCATTGCTTGTTCAAGGAACTATTTAGGTCCACGGTTAAAAAAAAATTTGATGTTCTACATTTACAATTTATCTTTTATTTTTGTAAATCAAGATTTGTCACCAGAAACTTTACAGCACTTTACCCCGAGGATGAACAACAATCTTTTGAATGAGCAATTTATTTCAGCTCAAACGATACAACGCCTGACTGTAACATACATTCATGCTTCAAATACATTTTGTCTGCAAATTGTGTTACGTCAAGAACCATTAGAATGAAATAATACTACGTAACGAACAAAAATTTGTAAAAGGAAGCAAAAGAATGTGGTAGAAAGCTTTTTAATCATGCAATAGCACATCGATGCCAATTTTTGTATGAAAAAGTGAAAAAATTGTATAGAAATGTTTGTGTATTTCAGATTTTTTTATATTTTAGATACTGCTTCCCTGGTCTTTAGTACCACATAGGAGAAAACCCATAGCCATTCACAAGCAAGGAAAGCTCAGGATGTTGTAGCTTCAATGTCATTGGTAAGATTAATTTAGGCACACACTAAACCATGCAAAGATTACAACCCTTTACATACCTTTGCCATCTGGGCTGCTATTCCTTTGGCTTGTAATGCAGTAACTGCCTTCTGTGCTGCAGGGCCATTTTCAAAATCTACAAAACCGTAACCTATGAAATAAAAGAAGTTAAATTTTCATTAAGCGAGAAAGGAATGTTTACTTAATGATTGGTGGTAAAGGGTTTAACACGTTGACTGCCAGACCTTTTTTAAGGTTCCTTCCCGTATGCCAAAACAAGTTTACATGTACAAGCATGCTTTTTTGAAATTTTATCTAGTCATATGTCATCAAAATGATATGTCTAATAAATTGGCGGGAAAATATTAGGGGGCGAGTAAACTCGTCGGCGGCACTGTGATAGAACGTTTTATTGACTATGCCAAGTGCGAGTTATCTCGTCCGCTTTTTGCATGGGTTGGTATATGTTCAAAGGGCGCCCCCACTTGTGCCGCTCGAGTGTACTACCGGCAACATAACACAACAAACATACACCAGCCGTTGAGTCTGTGGCTCTACAATGTATGACAAAGAAGTTATAAATGTTAGAATGTTACCCCGATTTTGACAAGTATACTCATCGCTGGCAGCCAACGTGTTAAGACTATTGTTAGTAAAATTCAAACAATTATTTCTAAAAAGTACTTTAGGTTTATAGGCCAGCTGAGGTAGGCAATTATGCAGTTTAAACATTTCTTTACACAGCAGAGGAGAAACATAATACAACATAGTATTTCCATACACCCTCTCAAAGGAGTAATGAAATTCCATGTTCTTTAACTTTATCCAATACTTTGAATGTTCCTGATATCCACTCCATAACTTCATAATTTAGCATTTAAATTTAACAGACATATGACCTATAAGGATAATACAGAGTAAATCTTTCATATTACACTTAGTAATTCGTAAATTAGTATTCATATATAATGTAAAACAAATAACCTTTTATCTGAATTATAATCAGAATCATTATAAATAATCATTATAAGGGAGAGTGGAGAAATTTACTACCCACTGAATCTCAATTTTCATGTTTCACTGTCCTCAAGAGAACTAAGTTTTGTATTAATCCAAACCTGATATACCCTTAACAGCAAATCCTAAACCTTAATAGCAATAAAGTGCAACACCTCTAATTAGCACTGAAGGGAAAAATTAAATTTATAATTCATATGCAGGCGCCATCCTTATTTTTACTTGGCAAAATAATCTGCCAGCTGAAATGTAAGACAATATTCACACATAAATCCAAATGAGAAGTAAGTAGTGATTATACTTTGCCTCCCAGCCACAGGAGACTTGGAAGCATCTCAAGCGCGCCGAGCCAATTTCAATCCACCCTTTCACTCACCTCCCCTTTAAAATGATAATTTCACATTCTATGTGAGGGCTGTAAAAAAACATTTTCCCTTTCTCCCTAAATAGGATCCTTCCCAAGCTACTTTTTACACAATATATTTCAATACAGTTTTACAATTATTAGGCCAAATTAAAATTAACTGAAGTTACACGTCCCGCCATCATCACACTTTTGGAGTCTCATGAAGAAATTTACTATCTGCTATTTTTCATGCAAAATAAACACGACAATCTGAAAGAGGGTTGTCAAAGCCTAAGAAGTGGAGAAACATACTGTAGTAAATAACAGAATACATTATACAAAGATTCGATTCATTTTACTTTTATAAAAAAAAAAAAAAAAATTGTATTATTTATAATCCTGTTTAATACTAGTATAGGCCTATATGATAGTAAATAGCAATAGTAAATACCCTCACCTACAAAAAATAAACAAAAAAATATTCAAATCCAGGATATGAAACTACTGTACCAATTAATTTCATTTGGCCTTTAAGTTAACCTACTTATATTTATTTCATCTAGATACTGTTGAGTTTCTGAAGATCTTTTAGTTTATTGTAAGATGTTTTTTTTTTTTTTTGGATACACACTAAGTTACCAGCCAATATGGCATACACCTACAAAGGCATTTTGAATTAATTCTGTGAATGTTCAATGAGGAAAGTAGTATAAAAACACCATCCCAGTGGAGAAATAAACATAGGATATAGACCAAGAGAATTATAATGGAATCCACATCAGAAAGTCTGCAGAAATTTAAGTGGTCTACTGAGGGGCAACATTTACTCTAACTGGCTTTCCGAAGGTTACATATCCTAAAGTTATTACCGATTGTCAACCAACTCAACAGTAAAGCTAAGAGTTAAAAGGAAAAATAAACATCAAGTATCAGCCAATCAGAAGAGAGTTATTATTGATATATGAGGCTGCATTTGCCTACAGGTGGTTGGTTTGTTATAGAGACTGCTTCCTGAAATTCAATATCAAGGCTAATTCATTCTAGTATTACTTGCTTCTGGATGCACAAATTTCTTGGCAGAATCTTGATTCTCAAAATGAACTGTAGACTGAGTGATTGGCTGGATCATGTTCTAAGCCCCTTTTCTCACAAACCAAGATTGATTGGTTGACACTAGGGATAATTCTTGGCTCATGTTCTACCTAAAGTGAGAGAGGTTGCGATTTGGTCTTTCAACTCGAAGGTCAAGAGTTCAATTCCCACTCCGGCCAATTGCTTTATCCTCATTGCGCTCTGCTCAGGAGTATAAGTGGGCACATGAAGCGCCGATTAGTAGCTGTAACATAATGCAATACTCCCGAGGGAGATGAGTATGTGTTCCGAGGCATTAGTTGAAATGACCGGGGTGATAATGTGAAGTGCCTGGAGGCTTTAACAATCCATCAGACTAGCATTATCATTATTTGGTAGACAAAATTTGAGAGGCAATTCAAATAGTGCAAGAGAAACCGTAGAAAGTTTAAACCATTTTCTAAAACACTCTCTTAGTTCCATATTCATAATAAATTATATTACGCATTTCTTATGTTATAATACTAGAAATATATCATTATTATATTGTATTATTTTGTTGTAAAATATAGAAATATTACTCCAAGGCTGTCTTACTGTAGTTTAGAGTATGTTGCTCTAATGCAATTATGATTTGCTGATCGTTACACATTCGTTCAGCCATAAATGGGCCCATTATGGGATGTCATTTCCCCCTAGATTATATGTATGCAGATTGCCTTTAATGCTCTGAATAATAACTGGAGTGGCTGGCTGTCTCCAAAACATGAACTGGTAATTTGCGCATGTACACAGTGATTGAAAAATGTTAAGTGCAGTGTGTACGGGACTGCTATATGGACTTCTCCCACAACAAATGCAGGTACAAATTAACGTCTCACTGGACATTTTTAATAGAAAAATCATTGTACAGCACAATCAAATGGCAAATTAATTAATGTAGATGTGAATGGTGAATGGAGTAGGCCTATAATCAAGGGTTTCTGTGGTTGGGCTAAACTTCCCTTTTCGAAGGACCCATCTCTTGCATCAAATATCATAAAATTGATCATAATTCCAATGGACTTCATACCAGATACCTGCTATATAACTGTTCCTATGGACATGAGGGACCAAGTACCTCCTTGACCTATGACTTTTATAGGGAACCACCCTCTCTGGGTTATGGGCCTGAGCAACTTGTAGTCTGACTGAGTTACCAGCATAGTTTATAGTATATACTTGAAATACTGCCCTTATTTATTTCTGTGAAACCTGTAGATTTGTGTTAAATCCTACTGATGAAGGCTATATGTAGGATATGTAGGATGTATATACTATGTGTGTATAATATGGGCATGTTATTACAAAAGAAATAAAATGTTGCATTTCATTTTACATATTTTTATTTTCTATTTGGATATAAACTCATGGCAGTTTTCTCACAACCATAATGATAAATTGTACTGTATGTATTTGTTGATTTATGTATTTGTGAATAAAGTTTTACTAATACCCGATTCAAACGTACAAAAATCTTACCAAATGTAACAAAATGTAACCAAAAGTAACATTTTATGGCACGTGTGAAAGTACCTCCGTGTAATATCCTTGTAAAATCTCGGAACGTCTCTGTAATCTTTACCAGCCTCACTGAGGCTGGTAAAGCTTCCGAGATGTAGCATGGATGGATCTGCGCATGCGCAGGAATTTCAACACAACAAAAATCTACTGTGTTTCACGGGGTTCCTTGAATTTTCTTCCTTCTGCAGACGATTATGATCCACTAGAAATAGATAGGCCTGGTTTTTCTCAATGATGAATGAATTACCCTTGTTATTGATGTTAATTAGTAATGGTAGAAGAAGAAGATATACATAAAATGAACGTCGGGATGGTGTTAGTACTATTACTAGTATTATCAAGAGTTGACAGTTAGTAGTAGTAGTAGTAGTACAGCAGTTGTTAAGGGCATTGATTGCTTCGAATGTTCACTGTGATGGTGAGTTCAACAGTCCATCTGTGACAAGGGTTCTCAACTAGGCCTAGGCTAGACCTATATCGCAGTAGGTGAAAAAATGATTCAATGAATAAACACTGAATAAATTTTACATGACCTTGGCATTACCTTACAGACGCGTGTGAATGCTTTTTATCTCGGTAGAAATAACTTGTGAGATCGCTCGGTTACAATTTGTTACTTTTATTAAATTTAACTTCATGTGTGAATCGGGTATAACACTATTAAGTATTCCTTCTACCCACACAGAATAATCACAAACTTGATTATAACCTGTGTCAGTACACTTAATATCTGACTAAAATGATATAGTGGTACCTTGCTAATACTTTGACCTTTGTGAAATTGAGACATATTGAATTGGGCTAAACCCAGCATTAACAATAGTTTTTCAGAAATAGTTATATGCCAAGAAATGTTTTCTTTTTTTTTAAGGCCGGTTTCTACTAAAAGAAAAGTTTTGGGGGAAAAACCATTCTAGAAAAATGTTTCCTTATCAGTAGAAAAGCTCCCATGTGAGGATGGGAAGGCATGGTTTAAAATGTTCAGGTAAAAGTGGGTAGGCAAAGGAGAGAGCACAATGGAAGATGTGATTTTAAATGTTCCAAGCCTATTATATGTGATGCGAGATAAAATAATGCATTTGTCGTCCCCTAGTCGACCTCCCACTGTCCCTGTTTACATTGATGATCTTTTCTTCCTGGTGCTATAAAAATGCATAATTATTATTAATTATATGTGTGAATATAGTGTGTCTGTGTGAATATGGAGGGGGAATGGAGGGAATATTTCAAATTCAGTATTTGGCTGTATTAGTCGTATTTACTATATTAAGGAGTATATTTAAAGTAGGCCACTTTAAAAGAAATCCTTAGGCTTTAATTTGCATTAATCATTAACTTCATGAAAATACATAAAATGTAAATTATTGTGTGTATGTGTATGTGTGGGTGCGTAGGTGTGAGAATGGGCTGCATTATAAACTGTTCCAAGTCCACTGTTTTGAATAATATATGTAATAAATATAAGCATGGGAATTAGCGTGTGTTTTACCTGTTAAATTAAAATTAATTCATTATGTGTCTACACCATTTTGTTCCCACTGGACCTCATATATAAATGTAGCCACCTACCTTTACATTGATTAGTGTTTTTATCCAGTATTGCCTTTGTGGAATTAATTTTCCCATATCTGAAAGACAAAAATATAATTCAACAAGTTTTTAAATAATTGAATTTCTACATAATAAACATTATAATAACAAATAATATATATATAAATCTAATAAAGGAAGATGCAATAAATTTCAAAACATTGAATCATGGCCTCCCACTCATTATTCATAGTAACCAGGCCTGGAAAAAATGTTTTTTGCCTCCAGCACCAAATATTATCTGTACACTATAAAGCCCAATAGTCTATTTTTATTGGAATTCCTCCCTCCTCCCCCCCCCACCCTCTTTCTCAAATATCTTTGGGATATTCATGTTGCCTCCAATAGGCAGTCGAATGGTCAGGCACTTTTTCCTGCCCTGGTAGTAATGTTCATTCTATGAAAAGAAAAAGATGAGGTATTTTCTTTATTGTACGTTTTCATATGTAGGCTGTGTCCTTTACTATGTTTAAAAATCTGTTATTAGGCACCATCTCCTTCTACACTCACAGTTACATTTATGAATAAATTAATGCAACGCAAAGTTACATTTTCAAAGCCGAGGTCTTTAACTTCTTGAAATATTGTGTCACCATCCATTTTTCATGCTGTTAATGTGAGATCAATTAGATATTTATACATGTGAACGAAGCATTTTATCTTGATAGTTATGTCATGCAAAACCACTAGCCTCATTGCAACGTACACTTATTGGATATACTTTCTGCAAGATCAAAATGTAAGAATTTAATTGCTATGTTTCAGAGCTGGTTAACAGATCGAAAGGACCTGTATGCTTAATAATAGACCCAGTGTCATTTTCTGGCTTGTAAAAATACTAGGAATAATTATAAGAAAATCTTGATGAGTACAGTGTATTTGATGGGGTAGAGTTCAGAAGGGAAGAATGTTCAGTGGACATAAGTGGTAAAAATTTCATCATTTTTCTCTTATTGTTTAACTTTTAATGTTTTTTTTTTTTTTTAATGGCAAATAACATAAAGAGAAAACAACAATTAGTGATTGGGGCTTCACCTTAAAGATATGAATAAATGCATATTCATATATAATCATTTAATGATCATCATCACTATCACTTTATCAAGAGATATAAAACTTTATATTCCCCTCATTCTATTGACTGTCAGTCACTATCTAGCCTCTGGATTGTCAATCCACGACTTATCGCCCCCTAATCATTATCACGGTCATCTTAAGCATCAGTTGACCTCAGCATGAACTATATCAGTAACTGACTGACACAAGCTGTCAGACACAAGCTTCTTACATCAGTTGCTAGGATACAAAATATCATATAACATGTGTGTGGTAATCTTAACAGAAACAGTCAGCACTTTGCAGACTACATACACTTAAAGCAAAATTTTGTCCAGGCTTGGTGTTCATATTTTTTTCGCCAATTTAAGACTCTAAAGGTTCTTATTTTACTTACTTTCAAAGATGAAAAATTATTATTGTATAGCAGTGTATTACTGTACTGTATTATAGAGGATATCACATAGTCGCACAGAAGTTCCAAATAAGAGCAAAATTTTAGAGTATACAGTAAATTTTTTTAACATTAAAACTTTACTATTGTATGTGACTAGCTTGATTTGTTGGTTTTTCTAGTTTTTTATACAATAAAAACCTCATTTTACATCAGCCTCAATTTGTTTTAATTTGTTCATATTTTGTAAGCAATTCAGTCTCTCTGTTCTTATAAACAGAAGTGTAATATATAACTCTAATCATCTCTTTCTGTTCTTTCTCATTTTTCTTTTCAGTCATCATCCTTCTCCTCCTCCTCATTATCATCATCATCATCATTCTTCTCCCCTATATAGCATCGCCATAATTATGGTATGCCTTTACAATGTACATCATTGAAATTTATTTTAAAGCATCCAAAATGTTAGGATATAGGCCTACCTTCAGTATTAAGTGTTATTTAATAAACATGAACAATAAAATTAATTAAATTGTTCTGACCTACATTGTATATTCATTTAACTGATTGAATTATTACACTTTAACATAACCCACTTTTTAATTTTTGAAATATTATTAGTATAAATCGATTTATGAGCTTGCCAACCAGTTGGTTACTCCCATCACTAGCTTTCATTAGTTTTATTTAAAAAAAAAATTTTACGTTTATTTGTGTATTAAATCATTGACAAGAACAATAGAAACAAAATAAAAAATTATGAAGTCTTAAATATCAATGTGGTTTACACAAAATCCACAGGTCCATTGTGTTTTGATCATTTGCATGACAGTTCATTGATATCGTAATTATTGTCCATAGGCCAACATTCCAATTTACTATAGAGTAACGTCCTCTCGTACAGTAATTACTTCATGGTCCTCTTGAGAAAAAAATAACTGTTGAGGGGCTATAGAAGGGTTATCTGATACAGACAAACCGGCTAGAAAACACATTATAATGCAGTATAAATGATGAGTTTGGAATTATGTTTGTCACATCCATTCATTTCTCAAAATTAATTTCATGTATGACATGCCTGTCATTTCTGTAAATCTAATTAACAAGGTGTTTCATTTTTGATAAAATAGTTTCAGGAAGGGATAATATATATGTAGTACTGTAGTACAAAATCATACATCAACTTTATCTATGAATCAATCTAAATACAACCTTAGGTATTTATATAATTACTTTTAATAAATTGAGAACAAAATTATTGATGAGAGATGAGATGAGAGAAGGAAATCTAAAGCGGGCATACAGTATAGGCCTAAACTATTTTCGTCGGACATTTTATGGTGCTAGATGCCCGGAAATGGTACTGTAAAGACAGGGGCTCACTGCGTTGTACGACCGTCGTATGACGAATCCAACTCCGTTCCTTGCGAGCGCTAGACAACGCGACACTGTCTGCTGATTACGTGAACGTCGTGGCGTTGCGATCTCCATAGAATCGCGTCGACCTACAACCGTCGGCTGCAGTGAGTGCAGACAATAAAAATACCATTACAAAGTAGTGTTCCCCCGAGAAAATGATTGCTTTTGTTCTTGTCGAGGAAAGGGTTCCTGAATTATGGTTTTGTTCCCCCGGACCGTCACTGGTAAGGCTACTGATTCGTTAGTGTCTACCAATACTTTATAAAAGTCCTTTCCACGCTATAATGTGTACGTGACAACCACCGGTGAATTGCGCATACAGTATATGGTGTGATGACATCATCATCACATCCGTAATAAATTACACAATTTTGTGGGGAAAGAGCTTTATATTACTTATATTTTATTGATTACCAGATATAGTACAGCAATCACTTGCAGAAGTCTTTTTTGTTAATGTTTATATGAATAACAATACAATTTTTTTTTTACGCCACTATTGTTTATTTGGTCAACATAAAAACTCAACAAGGGGACGTTTACCTTGATGAGATAATAACAGGTGAAATTTAGCTCCTACCATTCACAAATTATATCACCACAACATGGAATGTTCTACCAGTCGCTGAAAGCAATAGTGCCCATGCATATATTAAGAATGCCGTCTAATAGTCTAGCAACAAACTGTAATGTATGGTATATCATTTAATACATATTTACTATTTAAATGCAACAAATATTAATAGTCTCGCATTGATTTTACAATCACATGCTTTTAAGTTTTCCAGAATTCATTAAACTGTATATTTTCAATAGGCTTATTATACAAAAACTAATAATTTCTGGATATACTAGATCATACACAGAATTATCTGAAAATAATAGGTAGGCCTAATATAATATGTGATTAATTTTATTTATTATCCCTCATTACTATAGGATTTTACATATAGCAAGATATATTCAATAGGATAATACTGTTCTGAATTGATATAAATCAAAAGTTTAAAGTGGATTTTGAATCAACAGTACAGACATGAACATGTGAACATGTTTTACTAGTTGAAAGATGGAGGAAAACGATTGTAAGGAATATAAATGCTCAATTTGTAAAAAGCATAGAACAATTTTTTTCTTCAACATAAATGATATGGTAATATTGCTATCCATCATGGATAGCATATTATTGATGTCTTTCAGGGTATTTACCTTACACGAACTATCATACAAAGCCTGAGATATGATGAGAATCTGACCGTGGATTGACAAACTGACCAGTATCTATGTCCTACGACAGAATAAGACAAAACCTAGAGAGAAAAAAACTACCGGTATACCGGTTTGCAGGCCAACAGTGGTGGTTCCGCTAACAAAAAATGTTTCTACTGTATTGCTACAAACCACTTGGAATAAAAGTCAAACAAATTATAGAGAAAAATCAATAGAACAATCAATGTATGAAAATCACATTCAAGTTGATGTAACTTAGTAGGATGGTTCAGTCCAATGGGGGTGAGCCGTAAATGGGTGAATGGTGTATTATCACCTTTGGTCTTTTAACCTCTCAAAGCTAATAAGCCAGATACACTATAGTATAGGCCTAAGCTTCCATAAACTTCTGTCAGTTATGCAACAACTTGCTCATAAACCTCTGCCAGTTACACTAAGCTTCCCATAAACTGGTGAGCTGAACACAATACAAGCTATCTCATGCAGTGGCGGATCCAAAATTTAACATGTAACAGCAACAGAGTCAGACAGTTTTTTTAAAGTAATAGGAGATGTAAAAGTCGAATGGCCGAGCGGTTATCAGGGGTGCCGCAAGCTACAGTCAAAATATCGGCGCTGGTTCGAACGGCACGCTTGTCTATGGTTCTGGTATTAGAACAAGTCTTCTCGGATAAGGACTATAAACCGTAGGCCCAGTGTATACAATGGCTCGTGTGCAGTATAAAGAACCCAGTACATCCTTCGAGATGAGTAGGGGATATCCCGGTGTACTGGAACAGACAGCCCCTGTGGTGGACGACGAGAGTTGCTGGTACCGGGTTACTGGGTAGCACAGACACGAAGGGACCCTTAGAAGCAAAGAAAGTCTTTGATCAAGTTCCTAGTCCACCCTGAGCATCTTATGTTAGATGAATATGTGTGCTATATAAAACTACATTA